GTTATCAGTTAAAACTCTGATTCTTTCCCATGTATGCCGTACCTGTTCCTGCCTTGTCCTATTTACTTGTCACAGAGAAATTTGCATTGGCATGCTCTTTTCATTACTCACATGGTTCATGCTGTTTTCTGTTTTCTTCTCTTGTCAGCCTCCACTAAATAATGTTTTATCTGTTGATTGCTATTATCTTCACTTTGTTCCTATGATCCACACCTTTTTTCTCCTAATAATAAGGGGGAATATATGGGTACATCTATGGGTGCAAAACTAGCTAACTAATTCAATATGACTAAGTAACTTATTTTCTGTATGGAAGGCATCATATTACAACTCACCTAATTTTAACTACCTAAAAATTATAAATTTGTGATGTTTCTTTAGTCAATGAAGGACTGACTGCCTCCAGAAGAGAAATCTTCCCCTCACTGTTAGATCTCTAAAGTTAGGTGAAAGTTTTCCTTTACTCTCAGTGCTAACTGCTAGCTCTGTGATTACTTCTGCTGACGTATATTGGACTCATCAACGGATTTCTTTTCCGGATACTCTTAATCTGTCCCACTTTTTCTTACAATCTATTTAGAAACACATCTCTGATTCTGAATTAAAATAGGATTCTCTGAATTAAAATCAGATTCTCTGATTCTGTGTTGGGAACTGCAGGAAAGTATGTGAATGTTGATCTGCAGCTATGCAAAGTCACACAAAATATTGAGTAATCTGGAAAAGAACCTCAGTGCTATCCTGTGGAATCTTTCTGGGTGTGCTTAGACAGGGGAAGTTTTTATTGTGTTGGTGTTGGGGTTCTTTTTCAGGGTTGTTGTTGGTGGTGGTGGTGGTTGGTTGGGTTTTGTTGGTTTTTTTTAAAGTCTTCCTCCAAATGGTGGGAAGTTAATACATTCTGCTTTTTCTTTCTGAACAATATTTTTTTTTTTTTTTTTTTTTTTTTACCAAACCAGTTTGAAGAATTACAACTGCTAATGACAGCAGTGCATTTTTAATTACTTTCCTGATATGGATCGATTAACGTGGAGACAGATTAGTTCCCAGCAATCCACTTGGATAATTTCATTGAACAGTTAATTTTAATCCATATTTCTGAGCCCTCTTCAAGCTTTGTATAAAATCCATGGGGGTTTTATGCTTTTTTCTTCCTTTTTATTATAAGCTTATTGGAAGTTCAGAATTTAATTAAATTGTGAATGTATGAAACAGTATAGATATTAGCTCATGTGATAGGAATCTAAAACTCCTCAGAACCCTTTGTCAGAGTTTCAGTATGGTCTTTCATATAAAGTAAAAGTATCAGTTGCTTAATTGCATTCAGTTACTTATTACTGTATTGTTTTGCACATTACACATCCCATCTGGTAATAATCACTCCTAGGAAATATTTCTTGTCAGGTGTGTATGTGAAAGTTCTTCGTTATTGTCTTAGAGCAAATACCCTTCTCAGATGAGTTCATGAGCAGATCTTTCCACTACCAGTAAATCTTCTAATGTGATGAGACATACCAGACATCAACTCAGAGATGTTAACAATGTTATTTGAATATATACTTAGACCCCCAGTTTGGGGAATGCTTAAGGACTGAAGGCAGATATCAGTGTCCAGTTCCCTTCTCTATCTTCCCACCTCCTACATACCTTAGCTTAACAGAGACCTACATTAACTAGACCTCCGAGCAGTTATACTTATAGGACCCTGAAACCAGGTTGGGTTTTTGGTTTAGTTTTGGAGGATTTTGTTTGTTTAGTTTGGTTGGTTGGTTGGCTCAAACTGTATGACTTCGGGGGGAAAATTGAGGCATTGTTCCTTCATATCTTTCACTTTACTAAAATACAGGTCTTTCTAAATTTGTTCAACATCTTTGTACAACATAGTTTTTTCATCATCTCTGGTCCAATTTAAAGAGAAGAAAATTCCTCATTGTTACATCTTTAATACTGTATGCAATTTTAAAATTTTATGATCTTGTCTAAGAACTTCAGGATAAGAAATACCATCCTAGAAAACTGAAGATTCAGCAAGTCCTCCAAGTTGGATTATCTTGGAAATGGGCAATAACAGGGTGTATGCAATGACTATGTAGTCTTCTGCTAACTCATGACGACTCTGTCAAGCTATGTCTTGCTGGGTCAGATATACTTGAGAAGATATTTGAAGATAAAATAACACATTAGTGATATATATTATGCCACTCTTAGTCACAGAAACACAGAATCATAGGGGTTGAAAGGGACCATTTTACTGAGAACTTGTGCTTCTGTATGAGCTCCCTTTTAAACTTCTCTTTATGATGCTATAGTAAAAATAAGCTCATAGTCTGTTTCTGCACTTTCACTGCAGATCCATTCATTTGGTTTCCTGCATCCCTTTTTGGAAGTCTAGCAAAAGGGACAACTCACTGAGACATCTGAAAACAGCTGCCATAAGAAAACTGATTTTCATTTCATCTTTATCGGGGAGGACAAGTCTGTGTAGTTAACCAAAACATTTTCCCACAGATAGCTATCTTGGATAGCAATAGAATGTCAGGCTTTAGGTATGTTTGGGACAGACTAGGTATGAGAGGAATTACCTGAACACAATATCACCTCCTTCTGTGTCAGCAATCTTTTCACCCTGTGCTGGAGACTGATCGAACAAGAAAATGAAAACAGCCCAATAAGGCTATAAAATCTATGGAGCTGCAGATGTAGATGCAATATAAACAATTTAAATTACAAATCTGTTAGGCTTCTACCATGGCAATGACTTATTTCTTTAAAAATAACCTGATCTCATATTTCACTAGTATGACTATAGAAATAATTTCAAAAATTATCAATTATCAATAAGTTGCCATATTTCTCTTGTTTTGAACACATTAATAAAGTATTTGCTTTGTAGCATTTAAACAATTTTTAAATCATGGTATAATTTTTCTATCATACAGTTCACAAGTGGTATCATAAACCTAGAGCTTAGAAAATAACATGAAACTGATTTCATTAGTTTCCCATTTGCACATTTTTGCCAATAGAATTGAACAACTCAGTTTATGGTGATTTTCTCCAGTAAACAATTTCTGCACTACAGGATTTTCTTGACCTGTGAATACTCACAGCTTACACTAGATGGGAATTCTCTCTAATTTTATAGTAATTTTAGTTAATGCTCACTCTTTTCCTGAATGGATCACACTGTTTCATTAGTTTAGTCATGTAGCAAACCAACCAAATCAAACTTTCAAGAGTCTTATCAGTCTACAGAAGAAATACAAGTGAAAAATAAACTTTAGAATTATAATAAAAAAAAAAAAATACATCTAATACTGCAGAAAGAAAATGAACAGGAAGACAAGTAACTAAATGAGGAATAAAAAAGTAGAAGCAAGTGAGATCCATGGCCGGAGGGAAGTTTGCAGTTACAGGACATACTTATCATTGAGAGATATAGAAATGGACTGATAGAAACCTCGTAAAGTTCAGCCAAGTTCAACAAGAACAAAGTCCTGAATCTAGGATGGAATAACCCTATGTACCAGTACTGGCTGGGGGCTGACAAGCTGGTATAGGAGTCTAATTGCTGTCTTCAGCTTCCTAAGGGATGATTGCAGCTCATAATAGTATAGACTATATGTTACAAACAAATGAATTAACCACCTCACTCTTAATTACTATCAGCTCAGTGTCTTGGGCTTGCCTACTAGTCCTGGTTAGCATGACCTTGTTTCCAGCTGCAGTTGTTTAACAAATGAGTTCATTTGTAGGAGTCACAACTCCAATTGGAGACTACCTATGCTGTTATGTCCTCAGCCAAACTGTAATCAATATTATTTTGATTTGGAGTACTTTATATCTGACCAGTTGTGCTGTAGATTCTTTCAAATAGCTCAGTTTTCAAAGACAGAGAACTGCTATGTCATCCAAGAGTCTTACTTAAAGCCTTTCTAATTTCTTCCCAATTTTTATTATCTCAATTTCTGTCAATTTACAGATAGCTAGAGGGTCTCTCTTCCAAAGATTGACTCAGACAAGTTTCCCTTTCCTTTTATAGGTGGGAATACAGCTGGTTTGCTCAGATTCTCCAGTTCCATAAGGAGAGTTGAGGAATGTCATACCATAAATCTGGATTTAGGACCTCTAATCCAGAGTCAAAAACAGTAGCTTAAAGGACACAAAACATAAAATCAGTATGACTTTATTCTTCTGGAGCTGATTCACTCAAAAGTTTTGACAGATTAAATTTGTAACAAAATGTTTTGGCCTGATTGGTACATTGTTTAATTTACTCTTGCTTTAATAAGGACACAGTGTTGGCCATCCACAATGTTTTAACTTTATCAAGGGCTTGCATGGCACATTTATGCCTGGCAAGAAAGGATAAAACAAGCATACAATTCATAATGTCTTCTCTAGTTAGTCCTCCAGATATGTGGTCAAAGAACCACGCCTTACAAAGATTAAATTTGTCCTGTTGAATTACAGTTCGGTGCTGAAAACAGTGGTGAACTATGGCATAGTACTAGAAAACTCATTTTCCAGCATTTCCTATATACATAAAGTTGCTTTTAAAGAAACTTTTTAAGCAGAATGATGAAAGATACGGCTTTCACTGTTGTCTTCATAACTACGCTTGTGAAGAATTATGAAAAACACTGTATAAACAGTAAATCTGACAGCAGTATTTTATGTTAATTTTCACTTTAAAATATCAAATTACAAGAAATAGTGCGAATCCAGTGACCAGCCTTACATTTCTGTAGTTTTTCTTATTCTTTATCTGAGACATAATCTGAAGTTATTTCTTTCTGAAGAGATTTCTTTTCTTTGTATTTGTGTATCTTGTGCATGAATATGACTGTTCAATAAAGCTATAAAAACCTATGTCAATGAAGTTTTATGATGTAATTAATTTACAAGCATCTCCTATAAATATCTGTTCATGTGGATTATTGCCCTCCTTTTCAGTTGTGTCTTTTGTCAGTCCTTAATTCATACAAGCTTTCAAGACAGAAATGAAGCTGAAAAAATCATCTGATAAGAAATATGTTCCTCTTAGTTACTATGAAATTTTGTTTGCTTCTCTGCTTGCAGTTTTTGTATGTGTTTGTGTTGGACTGATTGTACTTTCATGGTTATCGGTCCAGGAGTTAGAACGAGGTAAGTAGCCAACCTTTAACTTTTCAGGAGTTCTTCTGTAGAAGTTCAGACTTTGAAGCCAATGGTGTCATTTTAATTATATTTCACATTTCATGCTATGCTTTTATACTGTCTGGGAGAAATTGCGTTTTGGAGAGTTTTTTTAATATTTTCCTCCTCTTCTTCACTGGAAATTGTTTTGAATAAAATAGGCAATAATACAAGCATTTGAAGCAGGCCCTGAAGCCATAGAAAAGATTTTTCATAAAGCTTTGGTTATTCAATTGAATTTATCAACTAGAAAAGGTAATATACCAAATTGTGAATTTTTGCTTTTTTCTCCATGTATGAGGTTTGACTCAAAGATATTGATAATCCACTGAAGTCTGTGGAGAGCTTTAGGTGTTCTACATCTCTTGTAATCTTTTCATTTTTTTATAAAAAAATATTATTTTAAAGTAATCTATTGGTGTGAGAGAGATCCTACATTAGACAGTCAGCTCCCAGCCTTATGTAAAGTTAAGGTAACCTAATTCTTAATATTTAGCCAATGCTCAGAATGTGACAGGATCATGCTATTGATACTCAAAGTAAACCAGATTAGAAAAAACAATGTAGAATGTTTTTTAAATTGATCTGAAATTTTAGTTTAAATATCCTGTGGATATATGTTGACTGTGCATAAGACCACACCTGGAGTACTGTGTCCGATTCTGGGCTCCCCAGTACATGAGACACATGGAGCTACTGGAGAGAGTCCAGTGAAGGACTGATGAGATTGTGGAGTCTCCATCCTTGGAGGTATTCAAAAGCTGTCTGGTCATGGTCCTGGCCAACTGGCTGTAGGTGACCCTGCTTGAGCAGCGAGGTTAGACCAGATGACATCCAGAGCTCTCTTCTAACCTCGACCCTTTTGTGACCTAGATTTTTGATTTTAAGGAAATGTATTTAGGTCTATGGAGCCCTCATAGCTAATAGCAAAAAGACATTTTGAAATGGAGTGAAGGAAACAGGTTAGGCAAAAGGTTCAATAAAGATTTTTTCATTATCGTGATTTTTGTAGCTGAAAAATTAATTCTGATAAATTGAAGTTTTTGATGCCTTCGTTAATCATACTATTTCATACTGAAACACATGAAGACTAAACTAGTTGTAAGCCATATTAAAAAAAAAAACCACTGTTTTGTCAGAATATTCTTGTTTATTTTATTACTTGTTATTGTTTTTCATTTAAGATTTTAAAACTTGTGCTCCCTACTGAGTTTCTTATTGCATCCAGTTAGAGACAAGGCTTTAAATTAATTTCTTAGGTTTTAGAGGATGAATAGGCAACAATTTAATCATCTACAAATAATAATTACAAAACATTTTAAAAAATTGTATTTGGCATATAACAAAAAAAAAAGGTCTTTGTTATTTGGGAACATTTGTTTAAACAGATTTGCAACTGTTGTAAGGATAAATGGTCTTCAAAGAAGCTCAAAGTAGACTGCTGTTACTAGTTGATAGTAGCAAATTAGTGTCACTAGGCTGTGCCTTTCATCACAAGTTGTTTATTAAAGTATTTATTAGTTGTCTGCTTTTGAATGTTAGTGCCTTCAAGCACAACCTAAAAATATCACTGGTACTGTAACTGGTAAGCAAAAGGCATTTTCTATCAACCACATTAATTCAAGTCTTATCTGAAAATTTCCAGTGTTACACAGTCAGGAAATATTTTTTATGCATAATGAACTGCTTTATGCATACCTCATATACTGTAACATATTAAAAACCAAGATTAATTTTTCAGTAAGGACCAGTTATCTAATTTCCTCATAAATCGTCACAGCATTTCATGCATGTAATGGTAAGAAAGGTCAGGTCAAAAATAATTTAACTAGTCTGACAGTAGTGTTTCCAGTGCTGTCATCAAAAATAGAGTACATTTATATAAAAAGTGCACAGCATTTAATACAGAAAGTGTGAAGTGTAATTCTTAATGTTTTTAATCTAGAACACACAGAAAAATCATAATTCAGTAACTATCATTCTTCCTATGTATCTTTGTCCCTTATGTTAGACATAACTGGACACAACATTGTCCCCTTTATCCATTCACAGTGCTATTACAAAACAGCATTTAAAATAGAATTGAAAGTAATGAGAACCAAGGAGAAACAGTATTCATAAAAATATGTTCACAGTTGTAACTATCATAAACATTGAAAAATGTCTATCACTTTTTAAAATCACCACTAGGCAAAACATCTCTGATTAGAAAGCCAAACAGAAAGCTAAACGTTATTGTATTGATCTAATGCAATGTTTTTCTTTTATTTCTATATAATTCAAAACATTGAGTTTTATTTTCAATTATCTAGCTGAAGCAGATGGGAATACTCATGTCTACATGGGAACATTTAGAATACTCTCTGGGACATCATTCATTTCTTCTTTACAAAACAGATCTTCAGCTGATTTCAAAGTCCTTGCCTTTGATGTTGAACAATTGGTAAGAACCTATCAGTCTTTGGTTAATTCAAGAGTGTGTGGTAGGTACACTAATTCCCTAACATGACCTGCTCTTGATGGCTATTTTCTTCCTCCAAAATGAGATATTTCAGGACCTAATCCTGGTCAGAACTCAATATATTCCTTATTTGTGAAAATCAGTGAAGCATCAAAGAAAAAGTTTGCTTCTGTAGTCTAGATTCAGGAAGGAAAAGTTATTTAGTATTAAATCCATGAATGCAGTGTGCAGCTGGGTGTATTTGTAATTACTGTATTGGTTCATGATTTCTTTTCTCCATATAGATACAACAAGTCTTTCAAGCAAGTGATCTGAAAAACAAATTTGAGAGATGTGAAATTTCCCAGTTCAAGTAAGTACAGCTTAGGTAAACTTTGCAAATAAATGTCAGAAATCCTCACAGCTATTTCTCTCTGGAGCGTTTACCTTATTTTTCAAGAGATCCTTGGAAACATCCTATGTTATTGCTTTCACATCTTCTGTCTTGCAAGTGCTGCTGTGGGAAGTTTGACATCAATGTCTTTCCTTGGGCAAACTTTTTTCTTGAACTCCCGTATGTCCATGCCTTGACCAAACCAGTGAGTCTGAGCCCTAAGACCAACTCACAAAACTTCTATACTTTAAAGAATTGCTAAAATATCCTTTTTTTCTTTTTTTTTTTCTCCCCAAGGCTTATTAGTTGTGCTATGTTTGCAGGGTTGCTGCCCCTCGCCATCTAAAAGAAAATTCAGGTTAGAGATCTGCTGGCATAGTTTGAGATGAACGAAAATACACTCATATGTCCCTATGGATGTGGATCCACTTAATGCGTATTCCTTAGAGTGTTAGCTAATGAGGCTGTCACTTGACATGAGGTAAAGCTGCACCCTGTGTGTCCTAGAGAGTCCATAAAATAGATACAGTAAGACCTGTTTCATTTATTAAGGCTTGTTTGATCTCATTTTTCAATATCCTATTTTGTTGATGGTTCTATGAAAGGATAGCTGTCAAAAAAGTCCAGTAAATGAAGTGAGGCCTGTAGTGTTAATTCCACCTGCACTGATTTAATAAGGTCCTGATTCAGCAAAACACTTGTAATATTGTCCCTCATTATTAAACGGTATAAACATTATAAAAGAACATGCTTTTATCCTATCCACAACGTTATAAACTCGAGGGGAATCATATGCTTTTGTGTTGTAGGTTTTTTTATTATTGTTTTTTTTCTACAGGAAAGCTGAAGACGACCATGCAAAATTCAAGAAGTCAGAGACTGGGTAAATGCATATGACAAAGTTTACTTAAAATATGGGCAAGACACAATTATACTATTAATTTATTTTTTTTTTTTCCTGTGGACAGTGAATAGATAAACAAATACATCTTTAGAGATTGGATAAGGCCCTCTAAAGAGCATATGAAGGTTCAACACATATCTTTACTCCAAAATCATCCTTTAGAATTAGAAGGAAAAAAATTTGCAATACGCCTTGGGACTGTCAATTTAGAAAAAAAATGGGAAAGGTAAGGACAGTGAAGTAGGTAGGAAACTAACTAGAAAGGAAAGGATAGCAATTTGTGCTAAGCATGCTTGTGCAAAGTTTTTAGATTGGGGGCTAGATCTCACATTATCATCAGTAGATTAATTGCTGAATAAAGAAAGGTCTGATGACACATCATGATAGGTAAGAACAAAACAGGACAAAATTTAGACTCCAGAACTAGAAGACCTTGAGAAATGAATTATACAATTATTTGTCTTATAGGTGAGTTAATAAAATTAGAAAAGTGCACATTATATGACAACAGATGATACAACTCTGTGATTCTGTGATACCGATTGTTCTTTTGATATGAATGTTTTCTGTAAATATATATATTGGATAAATATTCAGAGGAGATAGTTCAGTTGCATGACTGTGCTTGCAAAAGCAAAATGGATTATAAGCCAACCGTGAATACATGTATATTGAAAATGGGAAGTGTATTTGAATTACAGCAATATTTTCATTGGAATGGTGAGGGCATAAACCTTATTAGTTAGAAAGGTGGAGTATGATCACTTTATGAAGGCTTTTAGGACAACCAGGGAATGAAGCACACAGCGGTAGGAGTAGGTCACTTCCAGGTTTTTTGTCCTTGTGAAGGTAGATCAAATCAGCACAATTTGGTTTCTGCACATAGAATGGGACTATTCTCATCAAATTTAAGGCATGAAGGATGGAGATGTCTCTGAGCTAGTTGCTCAAGACTCTAGGCTTGTGATGGGTTTTTCAATTTTTCTTATATGGTTAATTTAGATGCCTTTTTTAGGAGAAGATCAATTATGGCAAATAAGAGTTTATTTCTTTCTGTCAGGTACAATGGGAATCTAGATATCTGCATTGTAAAAATCTATATTGGGTAAAACTAATTCCACCCGTGTATCTTGATACAAATACCATGGAAATCACAGAAAATCTGATGTCAGTGAATGTTGGATCTGGTTTTTGATACATCAGTAAGGATCTGTCTTCATTTCTGCTTTGAAATAATACTTGGAATATTACTTTGTCTTGGAAATTATTTTCTGGTTGGCTCTTTTCATTTAAAAAGTGTTTACCCCTTTGGGCACTCTCCTTGTTATTTCACCCTTGAAACTCTGCTGAGTCACAAGGATAGCAATAAAAGCTTTTGTTTGCTCAGCATGGCCTAGAGGTTATCAGAAACATGTAAGAAATTAAAGAAGAGAGTTTTTCCATATATTGCAAACTGCAAACTCTGCTCAGCAAAATGACAGGATTAATCACCCCTTATCAAAAAGCACTGCTGACTCAGTTGCAATTGAGTAGTATAAATGCTTAAGAATAAAATCTTTGCACTTAAATTTAAGTAAATGGAGAAAAACTTTATCTTTAACAAGTGTCATACTTTGACACTACCTTAATCTAGCTACAAATATAAAAATTAATAGTTGTACCTAGAAGGGATAGGAGAGAGTGAACAGATAACATTGGATAAAATTCAGGTTCCATAGAAGGTAAATGTAGTTTAACCACTGATTTCAAAGTATCTGTGTTTTCAGCCATTATCTTTTCCTTTTGAGAATCTGGGCAGTCACACAGCAGTTCCTCACAGATGCAGAATCCACGGGTGATGTTTGCTTTATAGAGGTGATCAGTTTGTATTATATTTTTGTAACATTAATATATTATATAATTTTCACAACACTTCAAGGTTTACCATGAATATTTTAGAGTTTAAACTAGAAGACCAGTTAGATAACAATAAACCTACTTCTCCCTTAGTTATTCAAATTCAGTTCCATTGCAGCAATTGATAGGAATGTTGTTTTGGTTTTTTCCACAATAAAAATAAGAGTAGATCAAGAAAAAAACCTGTTTCTCCAAGTTTCAAACCTACCTGAAAATTAAGAGCTGCTTCTTTATGTGTCATCTTTGCCAGCCAAAACTTAAAGTTACTCTCACTTTGCAAACCAAACCTGTGTTGGAATTAATTATTGTCTAGATGATAAGTCATATATCAGATTTATTTCATTAGCTTGTGTAACTAATAATCTTCTCTGTTTTGTATTGTTAGTGTTGTTGTGATCTTCAACCTTTATTTTACCCAGATGTTAACAGTTGAGAAAGTAAAAACCGAGCTGGTTTTGGGTATCAGTGCAAATAAAACTAATCTTACCCAGACTTTGAAAATTGATGTGAACAGCATACAAGTCACAGGTAATGCTAGTAAACAATTTTTTTTTTTTCTATATATAAGTCTTTGAGAACTACAGGTAACAAGAATTAAAACTCTGGCTCCCAAAGAGCAAAGGGGTTGTTACTTATGCTCATGGGTGTCCTCCTTCCCTATTACAGAACTTTCAATAGCAGCTGAAAGAACCTTTTACCACCTTGCCAATTAGAAAGTATGAGTCAGCATTGTGTGTGTTCACTAAGGAGGGAGTAAAGGGAAAATGTAGTGACTTTCCAGTAAAAACCACTCAATTTCATCTCTTTTATGTAGCATAATGTCTGTAATTTTTTTTTCCTCAAATTAAAGCAATTAAGCCCCAACTGTGTTGTTTCATATGTAAGTGCAATTATCATTTAGTTTTGCTCAAGAATAAGGAAAAGGGCTCAGCCTCACAGTGATTGAAGACTGATTTGTTGCAAAGATATCAGTAAGAACAACAAACTGAATACAGACTGTGGCTTCTGGACAAGTAAGCCCAAAGAATTGACTTCATCTTCCTCTAAAGCTTAGGTAAAATGTAAATGGAAAAAAAAAAAAAAAAAAAAAGTGGCTTTAAAGACTAAGTAGTTTTAAATTTTGCAAATATAGAAATATAGTGATTTTATGTAAGCAACAGAAAATTTATCAAAAACTAAGTGGAAGCCCAACGAGATCAATTGTTTTTTCCTCAGTAAGCTTTTATCCTCACTGAGGAGGAGGATAAAAAGTAATTTGAATCCTTTGAAGTGGAAGTTGATTAACTAGCATTTGAAGACCTGCTGGAGATACTCTTAAGTAGTAACTGATTGCTTTAAGAGGGGTGGGATATCTGGTGTACAATACCTCTTACTCTGTTCTAAAAGGTGCGGTTTTTTGCTAGGTACTTCAGATATTCAAAGGCTAAATTCAGAGTCTTTACATTTTTATTTCTCTTTACTACATGCATCACACATAAGAAGTTGTTCCAAATAATTGCACATCACTGTGAAATGTGATTGCTCATTATACTTCAAAAATGCTGCCAAAGAAAATTATGAAGAGCTTTTTAAAAGGTTGCATATCTATTGATGAACTTTGAAGTAGTCAAGCTTTTCTTGCTATGGATCATTAAAATGTCTTTTTTTTTTTTTTTTCACATGGGATATCATCTTTCTATTCCATCAGGAATGTTTCAATAAATAACTGTAACTAATTAACAATCATAATCATATATGTTACTTTTACACCCTATATCTCAGTATGTTCTGCGAGAGAAGTTTTATTCCTTTTTCAGAGAGGGAGGGCACTACAACACAGTTGTGACTTGCTTGAAATCACAATTTTCACAGTGATTAAAAGTAGCATTATTTCTTGCAAATTATCTCACTTTAATTTTGACTCATTTATCTGATCTATACACTGTTCTTTAACACACCAGTGCTCTAAAAATCTCCATAATATAAAAAGTGTCAAGACAGAGATTTCCCAGATGAAGACATTTTATGTGAAAAACAATGAATAGGAATTAAGGATTGAAAAGGATTAATGTAGAACTTTCCTCCTTAAGAAGATCATAGAAATTGAGAAAAGGCTGGGAACAAGGTGAGACGGTCAAAAGGAGAGAAGTGGGACACTACTAGTGATCCAAAGAGAATATTCACAGCTGATTTTTATTTTTTTTTAACTTTCTCTGCATTGTGTAAAACTAGATCCTGTCTTATAGAAGGAGTTTATAATGAACTTGCTTTCTTCCAGTAGCTGCTGAAAATCTTACTACAATGATGCCTCTAACTTCATCAGGTCAGTATCTTTCATAAAACAGAAACTATTTTTTGCTACCAGTACAACTTGAAGGAAAGTAAAACTTGCTGTTCAGCTGGTATAACTTAGTAAATCTGCCTTGGCTGTAGTTAGGGCTTGACTGCTAGGGTCCATTCAGTGATAGTTGGCCACCATTCATTGTTTCTGACCATTTGAGAAAGCAGCGATCTAAAGTCTGTACAAAAGCTTTAAGAGCTTAATTAGTGGATCAAAACAAAAAATAGAGTCTCCATCAACCAGCTCAGTCCCAAGCTGAAGTTTTTGTAAATTTAGGCAGGTAGATGAGGCTGGGGAGTCCTACTCTCATGCTGTGGTTACCAATATACTGAGCAATGTTGATTGACAGATTTTTCTTCCACTATTACTTATGTCTTACAACGGTAGGATATGAAACAAACACAATTCCTTGGTCTCACAAATTCACTGAGTACAAACCTGACAAAAGTCAGTCAGAAGCTGAATAATACAGTAGGTGCCTTGTAGCACTAAATGCAGGTAGAGTCGTTGCATACAAACTGCATACAAATTATCACATACAAATTCTCCAGGGCAAGGTACCAGACCAACAGCTTCATACAATTTATGTGAGCTAGAGAAATGCACCTATAAATATAGGAGCCATGTATTTGTTGATAATCTAATCACAGCCATAACAATGAAAGAGTTATTATTGGTCTAGTTACAGGCCTACTAAGTTGTATAGTCCAAAGTGTACAATTACTGTAGCTTATTCCCAATGATACAGTTAAAACTGCTAACATACAAATTTTATTCTATCTATCACTTCCTCCAGTATGCTATCTCAATGCTTTCCTGAGTTCTAAGTTCAGTGTTGCTAATCATCCCCAAGAAGAAATTGGGAGGTGGAGGGGAAGTGCCAGAAGAAGGGGGAAGGGAGTTGGGAGTTGTCAGCACCCCGGGCTGGAATGGGGAAAAATGTTCCTGGTGTGGATTCTTTACCCCAAGTCTTGAGTCTTCTTGGGGTCATTTTTGTATGTTTGCTAACACTGTCATCTTCCTTGTTCTTTTTGTTTCAGTCCAAATCCCATGATATATGCAAGTTTTACCATATATGGTATATTTACTTCTGCTGGCTGCTTGGGTTTTGTCTCTCTTGATCCTAAAACCATCCTTATCCACCTTACATGTTGCTTGAGTGAGCTCACACAGTAAATGACCACTTGTGATTTGTGTTTATACCACTGATGCCTCTGTTACTGTCCTATGCTTTCCTTTCATGGCTTTTGCTGTCAACTTGTGTGTGCATTTTTGGGAGTGCCTCTAACAGTCTCTCTTTTTTTTTTTTTTTTTTTTTAACAGTTTCAAGACACATCTTCCTGATAATTGCTTTAGTAGAACTGCTTGCTTATGCATGCACCCATGTTTTAGGTCTTTGAATGTTTCATTCCTGACAAAAAAGTGATCCCTTAGAAACTATATAGACAGATATGTAGGCAGATACCTATAACACTTTGGAAACTACTGTGCAGCTATGAATGAAGCTTCCTTCTCTGAATGTAGCTGTGTGAGAACCATCCTTCCAGCTGTACCTTCCCAGCACCTTTTGCTGGGCTTTCCTTTTTCTCTGCCAGAGGAACTGTGTCCTCAAATTTGCTGACATAGAATGCTCTGTAATCCATTTAATAGAAAATAGCCTAGCTTAATTTAATAGTGTGTGCTAAATCAGCAAGTTTTGATAGAAAATCCTCGTGCAAGTTTGTGCACTAGTAGGTCTGGGCCAGCAGGAACAGCTAACAAAAGTAAGTCTGTGATGGCAAATGATCAGCAACTTCTGCCAGCAAAACTGATAGGTGACAAACTATAGAGAAGACCTTACTACATCTCTCACTTTATTCCTTCTGGCCCTTCATCTTACAAAGTAAGGCATGGGATCTATTAACTATAGTGACATGGGGATCTTTTTCAGCTAAGGGTATCATCATCCTACTCATATATTTGAGTCTTAGTGTAGAAAGTGAAAATAGTAAACAGGGATGCTAATGAAAATTCAGATGAAATAAAAAGAGTAATTGGGAGATGGAAATTCCAGGAGCATCCTCAGCCATTGTTATTAAAAACACTACTAACTGGAAATTGTGTTGGAGCAATCACAAAGAAGCAATCTGTTTTTCTAGAGTATTTTGCAGTTCACTATCACTAATACAAATCTACTTATGTTAGGCATTTGTTCATGTGTAAATATGTGTACACACAGGTATGTATGTATTCCTGTATGTAAATACAGAAATATTAGATAGATTTAAGGCTCCTCTAATCACACTGCTGATTTGTTGAACAATGTTATTTATGAAAGAAAATGTTATTTATAAGAAAATGTACATATACCTTTTAGTACTAATATTAAAGTTGTCATAACTTGTCTTGTTTCAGCAAATCCCATGAGCCTAATTACAAGCTCCCCGACATCAACTTCAGGTCAGAATTTTGACATGTAAGGGGATGACAAGAAACCATTGCTGTTATTTTAATGGGAAAAAAAACCCAAAAGTCTTTTGAAGTTACTGAAAAACATGTGACTAGACCTAAAAGAGTGAGATTTAAAATACACTTGGGTTCCACATTATTTTTCCTGTTTATTGTGTCATTTGACCTTCAGGATCAAACCACTCAAGCTGATGTTACCATATCATTACCTAAGCCAGGGTTTGGGAATACAGCAAATAATGCAGATAGAGCAGACTAGCTGCTGCTTAGTTCTGCCCAAGCAACTGCAGAGGTGGTCCCAGAAAACAAGAAGTAGAGTTCTAACTTTGGGTTGTGTTTGCCCAGGTTCAGGACAACTCACCACAAGGAAGTCCTCAACAACTGCAGGTAGGTAACTACGTATGGGGAGAAGCAGGGAGGTTATATGAAACAGTCTGAGATGTTAGAACTGCACTGTTTGTGTACAGTCTTTTCTCTCATCATTCAATTCTAGCATCCAATTTCTACAAAACACACAATATGCGGGTTTACCTTTGATTTGATTAAAGAGACGTCTTCAAAGAAAAGGAAAGGGACTTCTAAGACTGTACATTCTACAAAAATGGTATACGTGTTGTGTATATTGATATATATATTGACACTCATACTGACTGCTCATTTTTGTTCCCTATTATTTCTTGGGGGTTTTTGAAAAAAAAAAAAAAATCAACCTAACAAAAACTGTTAGCACCAACTCTCATATACCTTCCAATGAACAGAAAGCCAAAGCTGTCTGAATCTTTTAAATCCTTCCCTAGCATTGTTAAATTGTGAAATACATATGAAATTTATAAGCATTTTCAAAGGGGTCAAATGTATTTACTGACTTTTTTAAAAATTTAGTATAGTAATCACATTGCAATTTAGGATAATTTGCTGTTTAAAAAAAAAAAAAAAAAGTCAAAATATTTTCTAGAAAATGTTAATTTATTTCTCTCCAGTAGGTGGCAATGCTGTTTAGTTTTCTGAGTTGAAGACTAAAACTAGAATTTACCATGTCTTATGTAAACAATATTTTCTTGCCTATGGGGCTTGTGCAAAGCATATTCCTAGATTATTGGCTGGGGTTTTGTTCTGTGTCTAGAATGCACAGTTTTGTTTTTGCTTACCTGTGACAATTCATTCACTGGCACTGTATCACCTCCAACACTTGACTGAAGTATGTTTGGTTTGCTTCAGTTGCCAACTGGATGCAAAATGGCAGCTCTTTTGCTTTATGCTGCCTGCATTGCTAACACTGAAATTGTTTTGGAAAGTACTTTGAAATGCTACAATACATCCAAACCAATTTCAGTCTTTGTCACTTCTACTGATATACAATATCATACAAGATTTTACTTCATCTGATTACAGAACTAACAGTTTCATGAAAAAATAAACCAAATAATAATGGTTAAAGGCTCCAAGATCAGTTTTATGAATTAGTGGGTTTTTTTCCTTTTTACATAAGAAATTTTGACCTTTTACAGTAAGCACTTACTGAAGTAAAGGAACTATGCGAATAGTGCAAGGTGAAGAATTTCCATAGAATTTAATGCAATTTTCAAGAATTTTGAAATTAGTGGTTATCCAAATCTTATTTTAGCTGCATGATTTTGTTCACTTTAATAGGACCTACTTGGATTATACAGATGTCTAAGACTAAAACCACCTAAAGACTAAAAGAGCATATTTGCAGTGGGTGAACATTTGTGCGCTAGGAAAATACTATTACTGAGATTCCACAATTTTAAAAATATGCCCAAATTTTTGCAGAAATTTGCTCTGAACTTATAAATTTAATTTGCAAATCTGAAAAGAATAAGGTTTCTGATATTCCTGGTATTTTGAAATCCAATTTTAAAGGCTTTCATTTTCAATATATGCTGGTTAAAAAATATGATTCTTTAGTATGATGAAGAGGAACATTGTGGTGTGTTGAAGTTGAAGAAATTAAATTTAATTGTATTCAACTAAAACCAGATATTTTTCACTGTTATTTAAAACAAAGTACAGTTTTCTCATGTTATTCAATCACAGGATATTGGAAAATGTCATTTATCATATTGCATAAAGTAGTTTACTTGGGTAGAGGAAGGAAATGGGTGTTCACGGAAATTTTATTCCAGTCATACTTCAAGTTTGGTTCAAAAAATATGTCAATTCTGAGAACTTCATTCTATGCCAAATTTATCTTTTCAGCATGTGATATTTCATTCCAGGCTTCCAAAAATGTAGTTTTATAAACACAATAGAGTGCTTGATTTGATTTGTGCTAGAGTAACCAGAGGTAAGTAAATTTTCCTTTGTAATGAAAGTGCTTTACTGCTGTGCAGTTATTACTGTTGTCCTAATTATTTCAGCTGAGTGTTTGCCACCTGCTGAACTTTGCGATGATGGTGTAACCTGCATTAGAAAAGATTTATTTTGTGATGGAGTCTTGGACTGCCTGGATGGTTCAGATGAATCTGAAAAAAAATGTGGTAAGAATGAAAACCACTGTAACTCAGTCTTTTTAAACATAGTTAAATCTGTCATTAGTTTGTAAACAGTTTATAGGCAATAAACCACACAGTGAAGCCCAAATCAGTTCTACTAAAAATAATAGCAAGAATTATTGTTATAATCTTTATCTTGTAAATGGAAACAATTTTCTTTACAATTCTCATTAATGAAGAATATGCTCAATAAATAATAAAGAAATATTAAAATCTGGCTATATTAACATAAAATAATATAGAAAATATTGGTTACTATATAAATATTAATAATATAAGTAAATAAAATCTAAATTTTAAAATTATATTTTATATTAAGGTGTGTACCAATTATATAAAATAATTTTCTTCTCAAATACATTAAAATTATGACACTATACAGATATAAAGTCATACTACCTAGTATCAGAAACCACCTAGTGGCATAAGAATATAATCATGCAGAACACTATAAACAGCTTTTCCCACGTTACTATGTACACTCAGATACCTTGATATTGTACATCCAGAAATTTAGATGGGGAGCAGGGGGAGTGGGCAGTGGTGCCATTTTTCAGCCACGGTAGGCAAGTGTGACTGCTGCCACAGTGGGATGGAGGCCTAGCAAGAGCTCCAACTGCTTGTTGGCCACCTACCTGCATCTCACTACACTGAGGGCTAGGGAATGGGAGAGTCTGTATGACTCTGACACAAATGTTTGAATTGGTGGCACCACAGTGAGACATGCAAGAGGATGATTTGAAAGTCTGAACAAGGGGCTTTAGGTGGCCCTGCTTCAGCAGAGGTTCGGACCAGATGACCTCCAGAGGTCCCTTCCAATGTCAACCCTCCTGTGATTCTCTGAAAATCTTACAAAACTGCAACCTGATTGGTTTTTAGCAGAAAAAGTGTATATCCTTCAGTGCCAGTGAGTTTGTCTGCCTTAATCTGACTGCCTAGTTTCCCTGAGCACCTTTTTGTGCAGAGCAGCCACGGCTCCATGTAGCAGTGAACACTGTGAAATTGTACTAAGGAGTCTGGCTATGTTACTGTTTACCAAAGCGTGTGTAGCTATTTGGTGAGGATGCATGCATGTTAATGTTTGCAATTGATCCTCATGGTCTCAGCTCTCAGTTGACTAAGCATGTAGATTTTTTTTATTTTTTTCAGAGAGAACTTTACAAATGTTTTAGAAGTTGAGGCAATTAACTCCCTGAGTGTTTTGTTTGTTTGTTTATTTTTTCAATATAGACTTTGGTGCTAGAAATCTGGAAAGATTATTTCCCTTCTGCTGTGACAACAGCTTTCTGAGCTTTCCTTAGAATAACAGCCAGGGCAGTCCGGTCCGAGATTTCAGATTGTAAAATGCTGGGCTCTGGTTTAAAAGCAAACAAGCAAGTCAAAGACAATTTTTTTTCTAAAGAATCTGCAAGCCTGATTCTGAAGGCTGATGACATGCTGACCCCTTCTGCCAGAAGTGGAATTTTCTTCAGAAAAAAAAAAAGTGAATTGTAGACCTGCCCATTACCTGCATTTTTCTGACTGCAACCAACTCAGAAGGGAGACAGCTGAACTTTTTGGGTAAAATGTCCATCACAATACTTCCATAGAATATCCACTGAAACACATTCAAATATCTATTTAGCATAGGAGCTGCATTTAGCTGGATCATAACAATGATGGCAATGAGCAGGTCCCACTATAGTTGAGGCAATCAGAAGGTCCTAAAGTAGCCTCAGTTGAAATTCTGTTCCACTGCAAGCATTAAGGTAGCACAACCCCAAAGAATTATTCATTCATTCATTTCTACCATCATACTGTTGTTTTGAGATATGGATTTTCTTTGGCATATTTGTTCATTTTATTGTATTTTATTTTAGGTATAAGTAAATAAAAATTGCAGATCCTTATAGTTAAAAAGTAATATTATACATGTCATAAAAATCAATACTTTTTATTACTATAGATTATTAATTCTGAGTTTACAAGTTTTACTCACATTTTATTAAAGATATTACAGTCAGACCTGTTATATAGGACAGAATTTAATTGATATCCATACATTGGTAGATACAGACAAAAATAAGCTCACCTACTTGCAGTCAAGCTATATGGATATGACTCAGCTATGCCCTGGAGGCTACACAGTAGTTTAAGTTACGAATTGTGCTTGTATAGAGTTCTCCAACTAAGGCACAGCTTCTTAGGCACATGGTATTTGGATTTGATTTGCATCTCTCCCTGAATCTCTACCAAATATAAGTTACAAATGCCCTGCTCCTCTGTAACTCAGGATATTATTTCCTAATCAGCATTTGAACAGCCACTAGAGTAATAACTGACCTTGAAATTTCAGGAATATTCATACAGGATTGTCATAAAGAAACTAGCTACAGTTACAGTCCACTTCAGGGAGCTGGATGATTTGCCCCTATTCATCTTCACTGATGCCTGGTATTTCCAAGCAATTCATTCAGTTACTGTTAGTTTCACAGTTTCAGCTCATAACCTTACCGAAATACAATTCTGGCTGGAGGACAAATTGTTGCTCTATGACTGTTATGTTACTTTTTCGGTCTTAAAATTTTCCATCCAAAAACTCATAGCTTTTCTAAATTTATATATTTAGGTTTCTTAGCAGGCTTTGCAAGAACAGTGGAACGAGTGGCAATAAGCGTGTTTGGAATACCTGCCAATTTTTCCACCTCTTTGATTTTTCATCTATGTCCCATCCCTAGAGTAACTGAATACAGTCATATAAAAGCTAAAATTGCCTAGATTTTCACAAGTGTTTTGAGGTTTCACAATGAGATTTACAGCCAATTCATTATTTGTGCTACAAGTATTGTTGCACACAATGGAGTTGCTGTCCCTTAAAAAACTTGGTTTGTTCCTTTTTATCACAATTATTATTTTCTCTGGTACTTCTTATTTTAGAATATGTTACTGGTTTTAAAACATAGGATACAAGGATGAATTTTAATAGTCTCTTCCTGCATTAGACAGAATTCAGTAAAGTCTCAGAGTCTCGGTAGAGATTCAGGCAACTGAACACCTTCATTGTTTTAGATTTATTGATTAAAATTACCTTGAAAGGTTTGTTTCTGTCTCTGCAGTGCAGTGCAGTAACAAAAGGCATTGCAAGAGTGCAGTTAGCAATTTCAGTGAAAGGGTCTCTAGAGAAATGTGAAAGTTCTAACAGCATCTATTAATAATGGCTGGCATTGCTGAAAAGCAGCCATGTAGCACATAAGTGTAAGGAAAGAGAAACTGGAGGCTGATCCCAGGAGGTGTTACTCTCTGCAGGCTGTCTTTGCAACTTCTAATATGTCTAGGCTAACTTTTTGTGAATAGCTACCTCAAAGCATCACTACAGTACAGAGAGGTTAAGCATATGTAAACCAGGACATGATGTACTGACCTTGACAGAGAAAGCCCTGTCAAGTGAAATATGTGAGCTTGATTTGATCAGTTTGGGGAGCTTCTCCCTGCAATTCAAGGATTACAGGACTAAGCCCTCCTAACGTGCCCTGTATGCAACTTAAGTAAATAGAAATGGACAGCAAGATGCATGCTGGAGAAGCAGTGTAAGTAGTTGCTACAAAAGATGTCTATTGTCTCATTAGGAGAACAACTGAGACTTTTCTGAGGGCTCCAGGAGGAGGTAGGAATGTAATGACTTCTATGACCCTGCCCACCTTTGACCACAGTTGCCTCCTCCCTGCAATGAGGAAGCACTGGGAGGTTCTTCAGAGAAACAGGACCAGTCCCAGCTCTCTTCCTGCTCATTCCTGAGATACTAAACACTGACTGACTATTGCTAAGCTGTGGATGAGCAGCTTAAGGACTTTTGCCTGAATCATTCTGTCCTATTTAGTTACTCACTGTCTCTTAAGGGATAAGAAGAAACAAATAAAATGAAACAAGAAGAACAGAAAGGAATGATTTATAAGAACAAACTTTTGTCATTAATTTTGTTAGAACAGTATGCTATATCTCTTTTTATTAGTGCCAGTGGTATAAACTCCTGTTCAGATCAGGATGTGTCTTGCTAACCACTTTTTAATAATACCACTTTTTTATACACTTCATTAATAACAAGCTGGGCACTTTCCTTCTTCTCACACTGATTTTATTCTTCACAAAGGAAAATAGTTGTAAATATTAACCTACTGGTAAGGACGGGAAACATGAATTAAAATGAACAGAAAGTACTTCTATACCAATACCCAGCTTTAAAGCTTTAGCCTATTATGATAAAAATGATATTAAAAGTAGAAACTCTCTCATTCATGGACCTTTTTTCTGTTTATTTAAAATCTTATGTGTTCTGTTTTCCTCTGAAAGGTCATGAAGATTGCAAAAAGGAATATGTTTCTATTCCAGCTCATGCTTTAGACTTATCATTGTTAGTGAAGTTCATTCTTCACAGTCTTTATTAACAGTGCATACCTGAGCCTAACTGAAACAAATCTTAATTTTTAAGTTGTGTTTGCTACAGTCATAGTCACAAAGAATTTTACACTTTTAAATTGAACAGACAAGGAACCTTGATTTATCATTTTATATATCATTTCCAAGAGGAGGACTACGCTCAATAAAATTTCCATTTAATTTTCAATATGATTGATTATTCATAATTTGGATAGTCATTATAGGTATGATTTCATTTTTGATGTTAATGAAAAGCTCTATCTAATTTCTGGCTCAAATTGATGAACTTGTCCTTACCTCTCTAGATAACCATATATGGTACTTATTTTATGCTTATTTGAAAGCTGTATGGTGCTTACCGAAAAACTGGAGAAAACCACCATCAGATAGATTCCTAATATAATGTTCAAGCGATGGAGTAAAAGCTTCAATAGTGCTTCAGTGTCTGCTGAAAAAAAATAACTCTACACGAATTAGCATTTCCCATCTTACTGAGGCTTAAAAACACATTTTTTTAAAAAATAACGGGTTTTTAAACTGAAGAACATGCATAAAGTGGAATAGCAGCACCAAGGGAAAAAATAATAAAAGCTTTTTGAAAAAATATATGATGGTGGATGACATTTACTTCAGATGAATGAATTTGATAGCTGGTAGGAAACTTGGGATATCCACTCATCTCTTTGAATACTTAGTAATATATAAGGCGAGGAAGTAGGAAGCTCATAAAAGCAGAGATAGCAATAGTCTACAGTATCCCTTCTTGCTTTTATTCACATGATGTCAATTTTTTTTCTGGTAGTGCAAACATTTTCCTGATGTAAAGTAGCTATAGATAAGAACTGTTAAGGCAAGATCCTTGAGAAAGAGAGTTGGAGTAGTTTAATCCAACTGTTGGATTTGAATTATTTGGATTGGTTTAGACTAGTTTGGATTAGTCAGTTTCTAATTTAAAAGTTAATTATCTGTATTGTTTTTCATCTCACATAGTACTTTGAGATCAAATAATTATACGAATTATAAATGGGATTAAGCTGTTAGTGTTTTTTTACTTTGTCTTCCCATTGTTGCTTACAAAGCATTTCCAAGGTAATACATGTAAACCAATAGCTAAGGTCACTTTCATTTTGGCTCTGATTCTGTTTTTCAAATGGTATTTTGACAAATGTTTCTCATTTTATCTTTACAGCTGCAGTTTGTGATGGAAAATTTATGTTGACTGATTCCTCTGGGTCTTTTCACTCTATGAATTATCCAAAACCCTATAATGCAAATATTGTTTGCCAATGGATTATACTGTAAGCCATTTTCCAATAATTTTCTACCTAATATTCTTTTTTATTATGAGGTGATGTTGTTTCCTGTACATCAACCTTATGTCATTTTTTTGTATTCCCAAATACCTCAGCATGGAAAATATGTAATAGTATTTTCTCCTTTGTATTTATGTAACTTTTCCTTAAAGACTTGCATGCCTAAAACCCCTAAGCATATAAAAAATTTTCCCACTTACAAAAATTCTTAGGCATGATTTTAAGAAATCTTGTGTATTATATGCATCTATAGGAAAATATTTGTAAGCTCAAAATAAATCAAATAACTCAAAATAATTGCAAGATATTTGTTTCAAAGTATTACAGTAAATACTAGTCTTTAGTGTCCTGGGTTTGGTTAGGATGTAGTTAATTGTTCACAGGAAACTGGAAGGAGAGCACTTGGGGCAGTTGACCCAAATGGGCCAAAGGAGGGTATTCAATATCATGTGACATCATGCTCAGTATTTAAACATGGGAAGCCCCAAGAAAGGGGAAAATTGTTGTCTGGGAGCAGGCTGGGAGTTGGGCGGTGAGCCATTTGGTACCATGTATTATTTGTATTGTATTTTCTTTCATTAGTATTGGTTTTGTTATTGTTTGGTGTTGTTTTCCTCTTCCCTTACCATCCTAGTGAACTGCTTTTGTCTTGACCCATGAGCCCCTTTATTTATATTTCCTCCTCCCCAACCCAAAGGGGTGAGGGAGATTAGCAAGCGTCTGTGGTTAAAACACCACATTTAGGTAATGTTTTTTTATGAAAATAACTGTTACTAACAGATGTAATTTTCAAGAATTCTCTTGTCATTGCATTCATCTAGGAGTTAACAACACCTGTGCTCCGAAGTCATTTAAGAATACATTTTAAAAGTGCATGAGTATCATTTGATGTAATAGCACTCAATGCCTTTTAAGCCCTAGGCACAAGAAGTGGAATTTGTTTAATCAAGGATACATACCTACACAGAGAGACAGCTATTTGACTTTGACACTTAGGTCAACTTCATAAGTCAGGGAGAAAAAAATATAGCCATAGTAGCTGATAAATACCCTAAAGCACACATCTAAAATAAATTAGATTATTGCAAGTTGGAAGCTCCTAAAAATTTCCTACAACAACTACCAATTTGAAAGTTACTGGTTTGAAAAGCAGAAATTCTTATTATGGCTTTGTAATAATGACCATTCTTTGATTCTGTGAAGTATTAATTTTGTACAAGAGTTTCAAGGGGATTAAGGAGATGCCTTTAAAATTGGGTAAGATTTGGACCTCTATTCCCAAGGCTTCTTTGAAAGTGCTATCCTTTGAGTTTGTTCAGGACTTTCATCTTTGCATTGCCACTTCAGAAAAAAGTCGTAGTTTCCCTTCTGTTTAGTGCATTTATTCTTTCTTATCTTCAGGAATACTATTCACCAATAGTTACTGGCTCTACCTGGCTTTAAAATATAGGTGTATCACAGGAACAGCACAAGATTGTATCCTTAAGAGTGTAAGCCTGACCCATTGCTCAGTCCCTGGTGTTGCAGAATTTGAGCATGATAAATAATCTTGTCTCAGGTGCACTACTTCCTTCTAAACTTAATTTTGCTTCAAATGCTGCTATAGCTGCAAGAAGCATTGTGTTAGATAGATGACTATACTAGGTATGTAGCTAAGAAAAGCTTAATTTTGGAAAGAATCGTGAGTAATTGCAAATAATATAGTAGAGTTGCTACAGATTTGTGTAATTACAGATTGATCAGTGACAAAAACAACCATCTGGTTTTATTTTCCACTTATCTGCTTTAAAAAAAATCTGTCAACACTGACAGTAAAGGCCTGAAAAATTCAATGTGATACTCAAATTTTATCTCCCTTCTGAACAGAATTGTTTCTATGAGGGAATCTTTTGGGTTTTCCAGTAACCAATGAGAGTAATTTTGTCCTGTTATTTTTATTATCCCTATAAAAAATGTGTTAAAAGTCACCCTATAACACATCCAAAATTATATTTCTTCTTCCTTTCTTTGTCTATAAAGATTTTCTCATTACATTTAGCAAAAGCTTTTCCATTTTCACCCCATTTAACTCCTCCTTAAATTAAGATGTAATTTCTTCTTCTTTTAAAACTAAGAGCAGTTTTCTCAATATTTCCCTGAAAAATTACCTTGCAACTGTATGTTTTACTCTTTTCAAATCAAGGATATTTTTTTCCTATGAAGAAATATATAACAAACAAACAACAAAAAAGGAAATGTTCAAATATATACTTCATGCTTATTTACTAATTGGTACTGATAAGCAGAATCAGATTGTTGTTGAAATACAATCATTGAGTCTCTTAATTCTAGAAAACAACAAATAGTGGTATCGAAAGCTAAACCGATTGTATTAGTAGAGTTTTAGAATTTGGACTATCATTTATGTTTAGTGGAAAAGCAATGGGAAAACTACTGAAATACAGATTTCTGAACGAACATAACTGCAAAAAAAAAAAAAAAAAAAAAAAAACAGCATTTGTTACACTTTAGTTAAAGTGACTTTTGCTATTAAAATTACTAGATAATGCTTAGGTTTGATAACATGTCCCCAAACAATGGGTTTGAGATCCTCAAATCTTCATGCAAATCCTGTTTTTCTCATAAGCAACATTGTTTTGGACTTTCAGAAGTTAGATTATGATATCTCTTTATTCATATTGATACAATGATACTACTCCTTTGACTTTGGGAAGTCTGCCTGAGCAGCGAGTTGTTATCTATTAGTAACATGTATTAAAAAGTAACTGTAAATTAATGAGATGCAGTGGGAGGATGGGGGGGGAACAACCACAAAAAACTATTCAGCTGAATATCAGATCCTAGAGTTTAGAAGATTCAGTTCCTAAAATATACTTAACTCCAGTGAGTAAAGGATAACTTGTTACAAAAGGCTTATGCCCTATTCCTTTTGCAATTTTACAAACTAGAAATTAACCAAATAGGTAATCTTAATTGATATAATTTCACTTTGTTTCTGAACTTAACATCTTTCAAGCATGCAATTAATTTACTGTAGTCAAAAAAAGATTACTAGAACATGACTTTCAGGTTTTCTTGTCTTATTATCTTAGAGTGCCTCAAGGGTTATCCATTAAACTGAACTTCACTTCTTTTGTTACACAACAATATGCGGACAATTTAAATATTTTTGAAGGTATAGGACAAAAAAAGATTTTAAGAGGTAAGGTTATTTTTTTGCTAATATTACTTTTCCATTAATAAAATGTAAGTGGTAAAATAAGTGGTTTGAAGTTAAAAAAAATTGCCTGTATATGTTTAAGTGGAAGAATGTATCTGTGTAAAATTTTCCCTGTTAGACAATTGAACTCAATGTACTTATCTACTCTTATGAAGTGACCAAATAAATGCTTCCCTAATACATAAAGAAATATCTACTTTTTTTTAAGATCTTATTTGAACAATCTTGATAACTTGACTATAGACATGGTCTTGTGGGTTATGTTTTATTGAAATATATTATTAGAAGATCCTGTAATATCACACATGGTGACATAAAAGGAAAGCATCTAAACTGAAGCTAGGGAGAAGTACTACAGTATTCCCTGAAATTCATTACAAGCATGGCATTGCTTTCCTCAGACCTTGAAATACTGATATACTTTATCTCTGTGTCTACACTCTGTTCTGGAAAACTGGGATTCTGTCCATTGTCTTTTCTTAATAATTTGGCACTTTTTCAAATATATAGTCTCAGAAGTAGGTGAATAGCTCCTCCTCAGAAAAGCAAAGTCTATCAGTGCAAAATTGGACAAGGAATTCAGAACAGAAAGAGTGGAGGCAAAAGCTTTCACAGAACAGTGAAACAGGGTTTTCTTTATCCTGAATGTAGTTGCTAATCTAACTGTTGTTGCCTGGCACCATATCAGGTTTAGATGGAGAAGCAACTGTTTTACTGTATGATGACTTGTATCAATCCTTTCATTTCCCACATATGGAATTTATGTGAGTAAATTTAAAATAATTTAGAATTTAAAGTAAAAATTTAGTTACATTGCATCACAGAATCATAGAACTGCCCAGGTTGGAAGAGACCTCAAAAGAACCTCTGTTCCAACCTTTCATGGAAAAGGGAGCCTAGATGAGATTATCTAGCACTCTGCCTAATTGCTTCTTGGAACACTGCAGTTGTTCCTGTGCTATGTGCTTCCATGCATACATCACAAAATGAAATTTCAAAGTAATTTCGTAGTTTCCTTACTCTTTGAATATCTGTAAGTGTAAGTGCTAATTACTAAACTGTGAGAATAAGTGCATATACTAAAAATATATAGTAAATACTCTGATCTAGAGTTTTAGAGTGCATATCTGTAGATTCTGAGACTATTTACAGCATCATAAGCATGGTTATGAACATTATAGTGTAGAAAATGTGTACAAGAGGCATTTCTCCACTAGCTGATATCCATGCAGAATACTTATATGGCAGCCAAACAGCTAAATGCCTTCATGGTTTAAAGCTGTTGTAGGCAGGATCACAGTACAAGAGAGAAAGTATTCTTTAAAACTCAAAAAACTAATCCACTGTATTTCCGTGACAGCACTAGAGATTTTAATGTGCATAAGACTGTTTTCTCTTTGATGATATTATTCTTTATTTGTTCTCAGCATCTCTGTCAGGGACTAATCCTGAGACAATTTACATTTTTTCACATGAGGCTACAGCACAATTTATATCCGATTATTCTGAAAATTACAATGGCTTTAACGCAATTTACACTACATTTAATGCAAGTGAACTAAACAGTAAGTGTTATTTCTGCGTGTGTGTGTCTGTGTATGTATGTTTGTTTGTTATCTCAAAAGATTGGTGAAATTCTATTCTCAGTTTGACTAAATGGAGATGTACACAGGTGTACAGGCCTGTATCTAGCAGTAAGGTAATGACTTGCAGTTATCTCCTAAAATAAAAGAGTAAACTCTGGCCATATCTTAATCAGATTCCTCTCAAACAGATTTTTCTCTAATGATTCACTGTTGAATCACTGACACTAATTATTTTTCAGTGATATCTTGACAGTACTTGCTCTCCAGAGTTTCTGATGTCCTAACTCATTGCCACAAGTAGTAGTCCCAGATGGTAAAACTAACATTCAGGAAAATAACTGCTTCAGTAAATATTTTCCAGTATTTGAATATCTGGAAAAAGTCCAGATGCAGCAAATCTACAGTGTCAACAAAATGCAGAAATATGACTCATACATTGATGTTCTTCAGCAGTTGGAAAAAAATTTAGATATAGATTGGGCAAGTGATGGCTTCTTCAGCTGCTAAATTTTGAGTAGGATGTGAATGGGGAATGTGACTGGGAAGGGATATGCTGCAGGAATCATCCAGAGTGCCAGCAAATTCTTGCCATGCTGAAGCCCTTACTAGGGGCTGACCTACACTTCAAGGCACCATGAAAAAACACGGAGCAAAATATTAGGGGAAGAAAAGTCATGAGGATGTTGCACCAAATATATGTGAGCAAAGAAAGAGCAAAGGAGAAGGGCAAGGAACGGGGCATCTGCGGTGCATCTGTGGTGCATCTGTGGTGCAGAGAGCAGGGTTAGCCCTTGATGTTAGCTATGCAAGGGGTCCTCCCTCATTCCCCCACCACATTCCTGGTCAATGTTCAAAAAAGAAGGTTGATGAATGAGAGCAAGAGCATAAAGGGCCACCTTCACTGATAGTGTTTTGTTAACAAGTACAAATGATACATTTAATTGAGTAATTGTGTTGTGTAGAAGAGGAAATTGAGTCACAGTGGGCTATAGTTTTCAAATATTTAAAAATTTACATTGTTTGTCACTCATTCTTACGTAATTCTGAGAAAACACTTAATGTCTCTGTCATTTTTATTTACTAAAGGTTCTTATTCACAGATTATGAGAAGATCAATTGCACTTTTGAAGATGGCTTTTGTTACTGGATACAAGATTTAGATGATGATTCAAACTGGGAGAGAATTCAGGGCCCTACCTTTCCCTTTATGAGTGGTCCTGATTTTGATCATACATTTGGCAACGTGTCAGGTAAGATCAAATACAAATTGCTTTTACGTTAAAGGAAAAGCTTGATTTAGCTTACATTATACCACTGTACAATGGATTCTTCATAATGGTATTATTGGGATGTAATTTTATTCTGACACAAAAATGAGTCAAGGCTACCAGACGAAATGTTTTATGCTACTGATCGCCATCTTGTGGAAATATATCAAAACTAAAATAAGAAATAAAGGAATATATAAAATGATTGAAATGTGAGGTATTGAAAAGTTTCAATGCTATTAATATACCAAAGTGCCTTACCTGAGAAATAAATTTCTATTATGCAAAAGTGTTATAGGTCGAATAACAGTATGTTTACCTTAAGGAAAAACAAGTATATTTACATTTTAGGGACATTACTCCTGTTTCATCCCTATCTACTGGTGATATCCTCATGGTTGTCACAGGATAATTTGATTTAACACAAAGTTGACCTGCAGGGTACATAGCTATATAGGGCACCTGTGTTCCCAGTTAGAATCATGCACCAAATACACTAATTTTCAACATGAATTCAAAACACACAAACACTACAACAACTGCTATAGCAAAACAACTTAATTGGAGCAGTGATCACATCAATTGTGGGTTTTAATTAAAGAGACAATACAGATAGGAATCAGATTTTGAATGTGCATAATAATTTCTTATCCCAGAATTAGACTCCAAAAGTTTTGTTCTGCTTCAACAGGAAAACTAAACAATATCTTTCTCAACTGATTTGTCAGTCCAGCTAAAACTAACTAACATAATCTGGAATTTGCAATGGTTATATGTATTCTATGCAAAATGTATACAGAACTTAATCAGTGACAAATAACTGGAAAAATTGTGAACTATTCTGACAGAATTTACTCCCAGGAAAAGAAAAATATTATTCAGCACATTACTGGATAGAAATTATTCACGTCTCTCTGAGTAAATGCACATTTTCTAAATAATCTTCAGAACACCATTTTTTCTTCCCACTTGACTCCTAGAATACAAATCAGATGAAAGAATATAAAATTTGTTTAATAAAACACTTGACAATGACTTCCAGCTCTCTTGAAAATGCTAATTTTAGTTGTTCTCTGTTTCACTGTGCTAAATCTAAGTTGACATATGTAGTATTGCTATATGCAATGTTGCTATTGTATTGAATATTCAAATTCTATGATCTGCATTTGAAGTAAAAATGTGAGCTGCATCATTAATATCTAGCTATTGCATACATTCAATGAGACAGCGTATTTTTGTTTTGCTGCTCTTGAAAAGCAAAGGACTTTATACATACTCAACAATTGATTCTGAATGCTTAGAGAATTGATGAAAGAGAGAACTGTCACTCTGACTATATGAAGAGCTTTTCTGAAAAAGAATGCTGTGATCATTTTCTTAAAACTAGATACCATGTTTATTTTAATACATACTTTCTAAGTCAACACAGGAAATGAAAAGCCTGATTCAGATTTCAGACTGATTTTCAGGTACTTTAACCTCCGATATAAAAAAGATAGATAGCTAATCTAGAAGTATAAGTAACAGAATAGAGTATATATAATTTAAACTATATAATTATATTTATATTTATTTGTAGATTCTATGAATATAATATTTGAATATATAGGTATTAGACAGATGGAATAAAATCCAAGATTACAGTTATTATTTCAGTAAAGCAAGGATTTTATTTTGAGACTTTTAACTCTACATAATTTTGCTTTTCTTGTGACAATGTGACAAATCACAGTGCTTCTTTAGGCTGGCCTCACATTATATTTCCATATGGCAGCAAGAAGTCCGAATTCCTAGCTTCAAGGAATTAAAGTTAAAAACCCAGCTTCCCCAAAAAATATATTTCTCTTGTTTATAATGCTGGCCCTTGCTATAAAATATTCATGTAGTAATTCTCTCACCTCCATCAGCATGCAACCCATATTTCCCATTATTATGTGGATAAAAATTATAAAAAAGTTAGGAAATTTTTCTTCAAAATCAGAAGCAATATCAAACAGGAAGGTGTTTCTATAAACTAAATAGAAATTGCCCAGGTGAATCACTGTCTTCACTAAATAAAAGGCAGATCTCCCACTGACTTCAAAAGGGATAGTTTCCCATTTCCTATCTAGTTCTGAGGAGTGTCCAACAAGCTTAAAATCTCATTTTAATATGTCATTGATTGATGACTATAACTTGGTGTAATCATTCACATTTAGTGTGTCAGGAATCTTACAACTCAAGCAACATTATCTGTTCTTGATATTATTTTTAACATAAAAACTCTAATTTTTTTAAAAAAGAAAAAACAAAACTCTAATTCAGTACTGACTAAAATGTGCTCATTATCTTGTAGGATTTTATATTTCAACACCCATAGGACTTGGATTTGGAGAAGAGAGGGTCCGGATTCTGAGTTTGCCTTTGATCTCTTCTGATCCATCTTGTTTAAGCTTTTGGTATTCTTGCATAATTCCTAAACATAGATTTTTGTTTAATTATAAAATCAAATAGCTTGCTTTCATAAGTAATATTAATCCAAGTCAGTGTGCCAGCACTACAAGCCTACTTCTGTTTGAATTTCCATCATCAGTTTCAACTCCAGGGCTGAAACTTTGAGTTTTACAGTTAGCTTTAATGTATATTCTTTTTCACCCCGCATCCAATATTCATTTCTATACAGAAATTATATTAAGACTCCCTGAAATATATTTTTGTCATGAAGTTTAATGAGAAATCTGCAGAAAACATAGCAATGTACCAAGTAAATCTTCCAGGCGTAATATAAATATACAATTAATTTTATTTTCATGCTCACTGCAAATCAGTCCTAATTCCATAAAACTATTTATAAAATTAAAAGATCTATATTTTTCATTAATTTTAACTTTGTTTTAATAATATCAAAATTGCTCTCCCCCCTCTAGGTATTTCATGTACAGTACTAATGTGTACCGTTTAAGAGTTAGTGTAAGTAATGAGCATGGTTTGGAAAAAATCATTTTCCAGAAAGAAGGAAATTATGGAAACTACTGGAATTATGGACAAGTAACTTTAAATGAAACATCTCATTTTAAGGTTTGTTAAACTTCTAGTTCTTTCTAAAATTTATTTTAGCTAAACTGATAGCAGAGTTTTCTGCCAAATGAACCCAATTATCCACAGCTCTACAGATTATATCTAGTACTACTTACTAATGCATGTCATCAATTAAATGTTAGCATGTAGAAGACTGGAGTCTCCATTTGAATTGTCACATCCCCCTTCCCTGATCTGGAATTTAAAGTATTATTATTGTAGAAAATAGGAAACCTTAACATTGTCATGGGACAATCAATGTTATCATGAAAGACAGCTTTCCACAAAACAAGGGTGTTCAAAGCCTATCAAAATCTGATGTGGAGTTTAAAATCTTGATAGTGAGCGTAATATGAAGCACCTAGCCATAAGAATATTTCATTTCAATCATTTCAGGTTCTGAAGCAGTATTTTCACTAAATAATTACAGAATAATTCACTGGAAGTGTGTTCCAGATGGAAATGTATTTGGTGCCACATGGTTAACAAAGTGACTTATCTGTAAACAGAAGGAGAAAACTTATGCTAGACAATTCCTTCAGCAACTCACCATTAAAAACAATTTCTTTTTATAGGTATTTGGGGTGGCTTGTCCTGCTATAATAGTTTTGATTGATGCAAAAGCACTGCCAGAAAGATGTATTTAACCATCTGAGGAACTAAATGCATATGTGACTTGAGTGCATCAGATTTCCAACAAATGTGTGGTTAATGATGGCAGAAAGAGTGCTATACCTAGCTGTATTTCACCAGCATAAATTCCTTGATAGGAGAATTACTTTTAATATTTGCATATTAAAGCATAATAACAAACAAATCAGATTAATTTCAATTTTTCATCAAGATATGTCATTAAATCAGAATTTTGGACTGATGAGTGATATAGAATTTGTGTTTCAAAAATTACATGTATTTATATATACCAAGTAAAGTCATTGAATAGTTTTAAATCATGATCATCAATTATATGAAGAAGTTCCTGCATTCTTTAGAATGATCCACTCGGTTCACATTGTGCTGTTTTGTTTTGCAAGGAATCCTGTTTCATCCTTAATTCCCTCCTCCTCTGAGTGTAGCACCAGTGTAGATTACAGTGGATATAAGAGCATTCAATGGTCCAACATAGGAAGCTGAAAAATGTTTCATTAAATTGTAAATTTATTTTTTTTTTCATGAACTTCAGGTTATTTTTGATGCCTTTAAAAAGCGTGGTCCCAGTGACATTGCCTTGGATGACATTGGCTTGATAAAGGGAAAGTGTAATGAAAGTATTTATGTAGAGCCAACTGTTATTCCACCTGTTACTACTGTCCCTTCAGTTCCCAGTAAGTAAACACTAAAACTACTGTTGATTGCTTTTTCATATGATTATATTTGTGTATGAGTGATTCAGAATTTTCAACCTTCAGTTTTATAAAAATCTCTCTTCAGCATTATAAAATTATCTTCAGGATAAAATACTAGGGATCAAGTTCCCTGCTCAAGGCTCCATTAATAGCAACAGAACTGGCAGATTCGCAGCTTAAGCTAATGTATGTTCAAAAACTTGGAGAGTGGAGAATAATGAAAGAATTCTAAATTTCTCTAAAATCTTTATTTAGTAAAGCTTCTAGGAAGTCACTGAAGAGGAGGAAAGAAGAAAGTGAAGGAAGATTATAATCTCTATATTTGAAATTATATGCAATGTAGCAGGGGAATAAGAAAAAGAGCAAAGTCACATAAAAATATCACTAGAGGTTTCAATAGTAAAAATTCACCAAGCTCTGAGAACACGTGCACACTGAAAAATCCCATGTTTAGGGGAGTTAATGTATAATAGTGCCAGAATGGTTCAAGAATGGAGCACAATCAGTATGAAGGTCTGATACCCAAAAAGGAGGTATTCTCTGGAACAAGAGTCACAATGAATAAGTTCTTTCCAAGGTGCATTTGGCTATATTGTTATTCCTACTATCTCTGATTACATTAAAAAGGAAAAAAGAAAGCAATATTTGCTTTGAAAAAAATTTAAATGTGGAAACAGAAGGGAGAGAAGGACTGTTAGCAGTTCTGATTTCAGAGTAAATGAGTGAAAGGACTCTTCCCACTTTTGTTTCCACATTTTTGTGATCTTCTCAAAGTAGAAGTTAATGAAACATTAAATGTCTCTACCTATAGCACATATGCACTTCTCCAGACAGGTTTTACAGCTTGATCCAGCCCCATGACACTGCAGTCTTTTAGAGGAAAGCAGAGAGATATAAGCTTCCTCAAAACATTTCAGTTTGACAGAGCAAATTAGAAGAAACTCACTGAGAAAAATATGAAAAAAAAAAAAAAACAACAACCCTGTAGCATCATTATAAATCTGGAAAATTTATATAAAACAATGGAGAAAGATGGTCTATGATGTTAAACAGGTCCACGCACATTCAAAGGAAAAACTGGTACAAATATGAATAAAGCTTGTGGAAAAAAATAATTAAAATATCTGATAGGGCTTTGTAATTTATTGTGAAAGAGGCACAAACTTTTCATTAAAAAAAGAGATTCCTACAAAAGCCTTATTCACAGATGCCTTTAAATCATTAAAACAGTGACTATGTTCCAGAATTGCCTCCTATTAGATTTGCTTTCACTTATAAAGCACACCTAGTGGCTCTCTTGACAGCATACAGTAAATAAAAATGATCTAAAATTTAAATAATAGAAAAAGACTGCTTGCATTGTATTCATGTTGAAACACTATGTACTAATATTGTCATTCTATCAAATCTATCACCTCTAAATCTATTGCATGAGTGTAAGTAAGAAAACAAAACTTTCTAAATATAAGAGTAAAATTCAGTTTTAGAGCTCCATCCTGAGATGGTGAAGTTCAACAAGATGTCTCTGTCAGCAAAATTAAATTTTAATAACACTAGTAATTTCAGTCATAATTTACCAAAGGGAGTTTTGATTGCAGTTTTCACTATAAAGTAATACTGTGGAGAGATACTGATGTCTGCCACCTCCAGCCACTTTTCGGGTGCTGTGGGTAAACACACCTCACAAGTTAGCATCAGTCTAATGATTAGTTGTTGAACAACCCTGCGGTAAATAGTAGATGAGTGCTGCTGTCAAAACACCAAAGAAATGTCATTCAAACTATAGATATCTGCCCAAAATATGGTGATAAAGTTTTAATATTTGGAAAAAAAAAAGGAAGTGGTCATGTGGTGTAAAGCTCCTGGTGAAACAGCTTAGAGAGGATCCATGCTGTCCTTCAATATAATACAAAAGCACATTCTAAGCTGTCACTAGGGAAAAACTAACTTGTTTGCATAACTTTGTTGAGGCATGCTATGTAGACGCTGTCTGTAACCTGCTGAAAAAAAGTGAATGTTATCAATCATCTTTAAAGAAGTATGAAATTACTTTGATGGATGCAGTGCAAGCTTACCAACACTAACGGTTTCATTACAAATGTCATGACTGTAAACAAGAGATGAAAGATTTTGAGCTGAGCCAATTTCTTTTGCTAGACTTAGAGCTTCAGTGAGAGGCACTGGTATCATTCACAGTGCGACAAAAGCTCACTGAAAAGTCAAACAAATTTTTTGATGGTGGGATAGGGAAGCTGGGTTTGCTTTTGCCTTTTGCACAAGACTATCAGTTTACACTTTCATCTAAAAAAAGATTGCTTTAATCTTCATATTCATTTATAATCTGTCTTTTAACACAAAAAACGTTGTGGAAATTACAGTGTACCTTCCATACTTAAGATGTGTATGTCAATATAAATTAAAGTTTTGGCCAAAGCACAGAGGAATTTTATCAATAGGTCATCGTAATTTTCTACAGTGTTGAGAAAATAATCTTCTTATGCTCAGTGAAAGGACCAAGATTATTGGTATTAATTGCTATTTAGTTCTCTAATAAGATACAGCTATATAAAAAACTCCATATAAATTTGTGTTTAAAGATCACTGGAAATTTTTTAAATGTTTTTCCACACATGAGTAAAATCAATTACTCCTATCATTTTTTCCATGCAAAAGAAAGATCCTTACTAATGTGTATTGCATATGGTCAACACTAGATCAGATTTCCTCATAAATTGCCCCTGTTCTGCTATTAAGAAAGTTGGTTTTGCTCTGCTCATATCATCAGATAATACTGGCTAAGAGTCACACAGTCTTCATGCAGCTTTACAACAGTTGTGTGCCTGTATGTATGTTCCAAAACCATAATGTCCCACTAAAAAAGCCAACGTAATCTTTATTTGTTATTAATAGTACTTACAGAAGTTAGTCCTCATTGTAAGCCATATAATTGAAGCATAATATACTTGTAAGTTCATGTGATTGATTGCTAACACTTCCTTTTCCTTTCAGAGACTTCAGTGTTTCTTGCCAGGAATGATTTGGTGAAATAGAAAGTTCTGTAAGATGGTCGTCTTGAGAAAGTTCAAATCTCTCTTGTATTTAGTGGAGCTTCTTCCCAGTGGGATTCAATGGGCAAACTCAGCAGGACTTCTTACAGATTATGCAGTCCTCAACCAAGTGGCTCAGAATATGCAATACTGACAGACATAACGAAACGCAATATTTGAGCCATAAGGGGTGGTGAGGGGCAGTGTTAAAATTTAGCCAAAGTCTGAAAGTTAAAAAAAAAATCAATTTTAATTTAAAGAATAAAATCACAACAAAACAAAATACTAAAGTAGATTTAATCTACCTTCTTTTTCCTGGAGCAGGTGAAGGAGCATTGCTTACTTTTGAATAAAATAATTGCGAACAACAGAAGTGAGAAAACACTAAAGTTTTTTCTGATGGTACAGCTGAAATGAAAATAAATAGTGTTTCTCAGTATGAAGTAAAGTTTTGGAATATGAAGCTGACACATTTCATATGTAAACCACCATCTAAACTATATATTGAAAGAGAATATTCAATATGTACAGTTACCTATGTCTACGTGTGTAAGCGTGTGTATGTGTGTGTATACATATCTACAATATTTGCTTTTACATACATTTTATTAATTTTTTTACATAAATGCATATACATATTTATGATAAAGACCTTTGTTATTAGAGCAGTTGTTACAAGGAAAAAGCAAATAGCTACTTTTACCATTTGCAAGGTTTAACTGTAAAATTTTTTAGGGTCCTGAAGAAATTTTAAAAAACCGAAACAGTGTAAGGGGTTTCTTGCTACAAAGTTTATTTGCTACGTAACAAAATGGGCTTATACTTCAGTATCTGTGCTAATGCTGCAAAAAGATCAATCAGCTAATAAGCAAGGCATACAAGCTAAGTGCATAAATAGATTATATGGGGGTGCAGGGCTTTCCTCCCTTTCTTTGACATTTTCTAGCTTTTATATTAATGTACTAATAAATTATACAATTGACTGTACCACATTTTTTCTTCATATTTTCTGTCATGTGTTCAAGCTTTATACCGATGGCACTGTAACAGAACCCTTACAGTGATGAAGTTAGCTTGAATACCCTCATCATAAAATTACTTTCTCCAAATTGTCTTTGCTACAATGGATTACAAAAGTAAGACAATAGGCTAATTACATTTTTGAAATGTTTTCTTTTTCAGCTGACTGTGGAGGGCCAGTTGAACTATGGGAGCCAAACAGTACATTCAGCTCTGAAAACTTTCCAAACAATTACCCTAATCGAGCTTTTTGTAAGTGATTCTTCTCCAAGTCTTTAGGAAAAATGTAGCCATATAAAAGTAAAGATACTAAATCTTTATCCCAAGTCAGATGCTGACAAGCAAAAAAGATATAAGCTATGTACAGTTGGATCTTCTAACTGAAGTCTATATGGCATTTAGCAGAAGCTAAGGAATCATATGTTATGCCAGGTTAATATCATCATCTCATCTATTAAATAGTTAATCTTTTATAGGGGCAAAGAATGTGTGTATGCATTTTGCAAGTGATCCTCTCCTTATTGAACCTTTCCCAACATAAAAGTGGAAGGTGCTAGCCAAGTGAAACCACCACATCGTTATTCTACTGATGTTACTTGATTTAGATTAAGCTAGAGCTGGCAAAAGGGGAAATGTTTCAAGGTGATCTACTATGTGCTGTTGCTGGGTGAAGCAAGGGAGAGAACTTTGTCACTCCTTCTTAATGAAATTTTAATTATTTAGTACTTCAGCCTCATCTGAAGAATTGTGTTGGGATGCTAATCACAAAAGTTGCGATTTTGTGTTTCTGCCCCACTTGAGATATGGCTCCAGGTGTTAATTTCACAAGTTCCCAAATGAGATTCCCTCTAGTGAGAAAATACTTTTCATTTTATGAACAGATTTAAAAACACTTGGTATTTTTACTTTCTTTACAAGATTTCCATAGTTTCCACACTTACATAGATTAAATATGATAAAGCACAGGCTAAACAGAAGCAAATACTTCTTCTCTAAAAACACATCTACCTTGAAAGACAGGCTTCTGTGACTGATTATAGAAATTATATTACTATCAAATAAGACTTAAGTGACAGGACCCTTTTTCACAGTTACAAAATAATTAGCTTTGGTACTTTAGGGAAACTCATAGTTGTCATGAATGGTAAAAAATGCACATGTGTATGTCTTAGGAGCCTAAATTCAGTTTTCAAAAGTGTTTTAAAAAATGAAAGTCAAGTGAATTTTGGATCTTTACAACATATGTTGCTTTTAAAGATAAGGTTCTGAATAGTTTAGCAGAGACATTTTTTCCCCAAAATCCTTCAACATAAAAATGACACAGTAAATATAGAAACTGAAAACATTATTTTTGTGTATGTGTGTTACTATTTTCTAGGTGTGTGGTACTTAAATGCTGAAAAGGGAAAAAACATTCAACTTCATTTTCAGGTTTTTGATCTGGAAAATATTAATGATGTAGTTGAAGTCAGAGATGGCAGAGGACCAAATTCCTTACTTTTGGGCAAGTAACAGCATTGGATACTAAAATGAATGTAATCAGACAGCTGGAGTAAACTGATGGAAATAATATAAAGGAAAATAATTCTCTCTGATTTCATTATACATTTCTTCACAGTCTGGAGTCTCAGAAATTAGGAGGAAAACTTGAGAAAGCATACTGTATATGACATCACATTTCCCAAATATTTGTACACACTCAGCTTTCTATGCAATCCAAATGAAATTAACTTCTCAATAAATAAGATTGCTCATATGTGTGGACAAATAGAAGGATAATCTCTTAGTCAAACCTTATTTTTCTATATGGATTTGTCAAATTTGGGGTTGAGCTTTGATCATTGCAGTCTGATAGCAGTTAGGTTTGAGGGAATAACTGTATTAATGGGATAGCAGTATTTGCTTTTGAACCCAAAACATTTTGAAACACATAAGAACAAAATAGCTTAAATGTATTCATGTTCTCCTGGAGAATAGCTGTCTATACAGGACAAGACCCATTGCCAGATGTCTTCTCTACAACAAACCAGATGACAGTAATCCTCCTTACTGACAAGTCTGTAACAAAGAAGGGATTTCTTGCAAACTTTACTACTGGCTACCATCTAGGTAAACATATGAACCCTTGTATTTAAGAACTTATACTACTGGTCAAATATATTTCAGAAAAAGTGGAGAGTGGAAGGTGACTCACAGCCCTTGATCAACAGAAATATGAAAAAGTTCAAGAGAAAAAACCTTTCAGTTACTTACCTGTACTTTATGTTTTCTAGCATGAAAAGTGGTGGTTTTGTTGCCTTAGTGTAATTGGACTAAGGTCTGTATTATCTGAAAATTTGTATGATATTATGAGCAAAACTGTCTCAGTATTTTGACCAAAAACTATTTGAATGTTAAGAGGGCAAATATGAACTATTCCCTATACAAGCCCCAGAAAAAAACACCACTTTTCTACTCATTTGAGAGTGTCATTAATGTATGTTTAAATGCATTTGTAAAATATTTATTATCCATCACATCCACTAGAAGAGAAAAATGAATATGATAAGTCTGATTAATGTTTGCAATATGGTCCTTCTTGCATCTTTAAAACTTTGGTCCTTAGCATGTGAAGGATAATAACAGTTAATATTTTAAATATTTGGACAGCAGTGTTTCTGGTCTCAGCCAGTCCTCTTCTGAAAGGCTCCTGGTTTTGTTGGGGACTGCAATTAGATTTTTCATTCATATAAGTCATTTCACAATCATCTCTCTAAAAACATGAAAAAAGGACCCATGTAGTTGAAGTCAGAGATGGCAGAGGACCAAATTCCTTACTTTTGGGCAGGTAACAGCATTGGATACTAAAATGAATGTAATCAGACAGCTGGAGTAAACTGATGGAACAGCAATATGCTTACCAGGACAAATACTTATGCTAACTCTAGGCCAAATCTTGACAGAATTAATTAGAGGCTTTGTATTACTTCTGTGGAAATCTGACAGCAGAAAAAAGATAAAAAAAAAGCAGTATGTATTCAGTGATGTGTGAAGTACCATTTGTTTGC